GACCGTATCGTTGCTCGTTGTAATAAGTCTGGTTGTGAGCCCAATGCCCATCAAAGGCGAGGCCAAAGTCGGAGATCTTGAGATGGCCAGACGACGTGATCAAGAAGTTGTCGGGCTTGACATCGCGATGGATCCAGTTCATCTTGTGTGCCTCCTCGATGCACAGTATCATCTCTGCGAGATACCACTTCGCGACGTTCTCATCGAGGATGTCTTCGCGAAGAAGGAGGCCCAGGAAGTCGCCGCCCATCATGTATTCCATGACGAGGTAAAGGTTGTTGTTGTCCTGGAAAGCAGAAATGAGGGGAACTACCCATCGCGAATTCTCTGACGCGACTAGAAAGTCTCGCTCTGCTCGCAAATGTCCCTCTTGGCTATTGCGAAGCATATCCGACTTTCTGATGACCTTCATGGCGAAGACTTGCTTTTGTCTGCGGATGGTCGGGGAAGGCCTATCAGTTTTTGGCGTCAATGAGCCATCGAGATATCCCATACTGCAGCTGCTTCCGCGTAGACTGCCGCAATTGTCGCTCTTCTCGCGGACGAGACGCACAACACCGAAGCTACCTTTCCCGAGGACTCTTACGATGTCGTAATTGGAAATGTGCACGCCTTTCATCGTCTGACGCGCTAGGGTATTCGACTTCATGACACGGGTTTGACGCAGATGATGTGTCTCTGCAAGATACTATTCTCGCCTTTTGGAGTGACGTTGCTCGTTTGGTATGGCCATAGTGAATACCTTCCGTTCCATTTGGCGGCGACGCATAGATCGTGGTGTGACCTTGGTACCGAGAAGCTGATTGAAGTGTGACTCGAAGAAGATCTTCGCCGCTGCTGCATTCTCAATAGTCGCAACGGAAGGCTCACACAGTCGCGGAGCGTCTTGACGTGGAAAGACAAGGAATCTTGGAGGCAAACGTTCTGGGGTCGCCTCACAATAGAGCGCAGGTTGATTGTCGGTTATATGACGACCGTTCTGACTTCGATAGGTGGTTTCAGCAGACAGCGGCGCGCCTGACGAGACCAACGATGTCGGTGCAGTGGACTGGCTTAGCGGTGCGACGCTGCTGGAGGGGCTCAGAACACTTGATGGAAGCGAAGGAACCTCTGACATAGCGCTTTTGGGCGAGGTGGTAGTCCGCTGATCATCGCTTGGATGCTTGAAATGGTCTGTTCGAACCATTGGCCGAGAGCTCATTTTGGGTCGACGTACCACCGTATCGTTGTTCATTAGGGCGTTGGAAATCTTGGCGGTGAGTTGCTGGGAGAGACTTGGTGTTGACCAGCTTGTTGTCATGGGTGTAGGAGGCGGAGTGCGGGTTCTTGGTATAGGTTCTGATTCGCCATCGAAGACGGCAGCGTTTGTGAGTTGGAGTAACGATGAAGAGTCCGGATCTAGGGAGAGAGCTGGTAGAGTCATAGGTACATCGGGAACGACAGGGCACTGTAGAGGAGAGTTGGAGTAGGAATTGATGTTATCGACACGTGGTACGTCTGCTGGTTTGTTGACCGTTGACCCAGTGCTACCAAAGGTAGCCTCGCCGGAGCTGGGAGCGGAACCTGTTGGTACTATCAGTAGAAGCCAAGAGGTACCAGGCAGAAATGGGTAGCAACTCTTGCCATTGCGGAAGATTGAGAAGATTCTGATGCTTCCACGACGAAGTGTAGTAAAGGTACGGCTAGCAGGGGTGCTGTTGCGCCCCTGTAAATTCTTCGTGGAGCCGCTGGAGTAGCCTTCTGCTGATCGCTCGATGACGCGGACCTTGCCTTTATCACGAGATAGTTGTATCGCGTTATGGGCTTCCTTTCTCTTCCGCGCTGGGACGAGCGACAACATGTCAGTAGCTCGGGTGTCGGTCGTTGACCGAAGTTAAGTTCGGACTGAGTAATAATGTTCGATGAACGCCGCGATCATCGAAGAATATCGATGCAGGACGGTTGGTGACGAGCAGAGCCAGAAAGACCTGTCGGGTGGATACTGTTTACACCTGCGATATTGGAAGGCATGACTTGAGTGACGAGGCAAGAAGCCCTATCGCAGGAAGGTGGCCATGGTCTCTCCGTGCTCGAGGAAGGCGCTCATGGCACCACACCTGGGCAGCATCAACAACGGCCGTACCTCACGCAACCAGTATCCCGGACGCCAGAATCCACGAACCCGTGCTCCCTGCGTCCAACACGATCTACAATCTCATGGCGCTTGGCTAAAGCGATGCTTGTTCGCTGCTAACTCCAGTGCGCAAAGATATTCGTTTGACTCAAGCAAGGGGAGTACGAATGCGGTACCTCGCGCCGTACAGACAGGCACTAGCAGCGAACCGCAGGAAAGATGGCACTGCGCGGATGGTGTGCTGGTGCGCTCGGCACGACGCGGGCCCAGAAGAGATGCCTTTTCAAGCAATTGGTTATTGCGAATGGAGGCTTCGTTCGTCCCGGCGCAGCGGACACTTCCAAGCGACCAGGGGCGGCGAAACAAGCTCCCAATCAGCATCATCGACACTCGGCCTTCCCCAGCTGTCGCACTGCAGCCCTCATGCAGCGATATGAGGATAGAAACATGCGCATGTTGACGGCTGGGGATTATATTGCGGCGAGGGCGTTGATCGCCGTTCGTTGGGGGCCAGTGGCGGCTAGCTGACTGTGCGCGCGATTGTCTGCGTCTTTCAGCATTCTTCTCCCACGAACACAGACGCGGTGTAGCTGCGGCGTTTCAAGATTCTGCATCACGCCTTGGTCACACTATCACGGCCGAGTCGCGCGGATGAGGGCATTTTTTAGATCCGGAAACCTTCCTCGCTGTCTGCTGGTGGGCATGTGGACTCTGGAGTAGTTGGGCGCTTAGAGGTGCCTGGCCGGACTGCCGAGACTCTGCAAAGTCATCACACGCCTCTGCAAATCAGAGGCGCCATGCGCATGGCCACCTCGGACGCTATTCGCTCCGCCGACAGAGGCTTTCCCTCCCGCCCGACAAGACCTGCATACGCGAAGCTCAGTGGTCGCTGGCCCCTGTAGATTCAATATGCTAGCGACGTGCCTATTCGCTGCCTACTCAATGCTTCGAGGGCTGACATGCAAAGGCTGGCCATGCTGGCGGGCCCGTTTTGCTCTGTTCATTCGCCTGAAGCGTCTCTTTGGCGAGCAATGCCATGGTTGCACGAGGCCCTCGAGGCCAAGTCCCGTAATCCATAAGTGCTGATGCCCCCCGCCACCGCACGCTGCCCGTTCTGCGTCGACTACCATCAAATCGTGTACCCCAAAGCTGACGGGTCACTGAATCGTTAAAGACAAGGACTTCCGCTACGCAACAGTCTTTGCTTTCCACATCGCACCGCCAAAATGTTTCGTTTTACCGAGCTCGTTTTTATCGCCGCTACCTGGTCACTCGCTACTGCACATACCGTTATCGTCTACCCAGGATGGAGAGGAAACAACATCCACACCAACGGAACCAAGTCTGACACAGACCCATCGATCCCTGATGGCTCGATTGGTATCAACTACCACGAAGACACAGGCACATATGGATTCCCATACGGCATGCAATGGATGTACCCATGTACGTTTTCCCGATTGGGTATTCCGCGCAGGAGAAGGTAACTAACATGAACTTCTAGGTGGTGGCATGCCAATGTCGCAAAATCGCACAAAGTGGCCGGTGAACGGTGGCGCCGTCGCAATCCAACCTGGATGGTTCCCAGGCCACTCGCTCGCCATGTTCTACGTCAACATGGGTTACGGCAACGAACCGCTAAACTACTCGCACACGATGGTGCCAGTCTTCCAGATAACAGGGCCTACAAACCAAGAATACCCCGGTTCCTTCTGTCTACCGCAAGTCCCATTACCTGCCAACTATACACCCCAGGTTGGAGACAACGCGACTATCCAGATTATTGAGCTTGCGCAACACGGCGCTGCTCTTTACAACGTGAGTGCAAGCGCCTGAACATGACAGCCGCATAGTCGCTAATAGATTCCAATAGTGTGCCGACATCACTTTCGCCGAACCAGAGGATGTTCCCGAAGTCAACAGCTCAAACTGCGTTAACACAACAAACGTCGACGACCACATTGGCTTCCAAATCGTATACTCGACAACATCATCGCCAGCGCCACACAACATGGTCGTCAACACCTATGCATCGATCATAGTGCCGGCAATGCTTGCAGCGGCGTCGTGGATCACATGGGTCGTCTAGTGCACGAGCCTGACTTTTATCTGCGAACATAGTCTTTTTATGGGCAAGGAGTTTTGGCGCGAAAGATATCCGGTCTCTTTTGAAGCGACGATCTCGATTTGGAGCGTACGCGGTGGTTTGATCTGGGTGGTTGGTGGACCAGCTGTTCAGCAGCTATGACGGTCTTTCTTAGGGGCACATAACACGTTACTGTGCGGTATGATGTACAGAAGCTACACATACAATACCATTCATAATCCCAACACTTGCAATTCCACTAGTCGCTCACTTGTAAGCTATATGCTGTCATGCTTATACCGACTGCAACAAAGAGCAGCTTGTGTATATAAGCCGTCAGCAGGAGGCCTGATCCGCATGCGCAACGCCGACGTGAGCGGATGACTTGAACTACAGCTGCAAGCCAGATAGCAGACCCCTAATCAAGGGAGGCACAGTTCCCACACAATCTTTACTGTGGTTTGGCGGGCCACAGCCAAGGTCGCCGCCATTCCGCCTCGGAAATCCCGTTCCGAGCCTCCCTTTCCCCACTAAAACCCAACCAGACCCTGGCCTCTCACGATGATTTTCTACGCGCCCAGGTGGTCCCTTCCCCGTCATCGCCTCGCCCTCGATACTTCGGCCACGCCTTACTTACGCGCCCATGCAAGCCGCACCTTAAGTCGACGACGCGACGATCGGTGTACTTTTTTTGTGCAGTGTGCGTCATTGTGGGTTTGAGGTGCGCTTGTGGTGAAGGGAGTATGCGCTTGAATTCCTTTTCGCCAAGACCGAGCAAAGAAAGGTGCGTAGTGGGGAGATATGAGTAAGAAAGGAAGAGGCCGCGTTAAGAGGAAGGAGGTGCAGAGTGAGGATGGGTGGACTGTCATTACCCATGGCTTGGCGAGTATTTCGCTTGATGGGAAAGGGAAGAAGGAGGCGGATGCTGGGTCCTTGCCTACGAGGATAGTAGAGGGTTTGACGGCAGAAAAATTATCGGACGATTTCCGCCTGCTTCAAGAGCGGTGGGAAGATACGCTGCTTGCGAAGCAAGTCAAAGAGATTGTGGAGAAGAAAAGCGCTGATGGCAAAGGGGATGTTGAAGAAGCGGTATGCATTGGCATCGGCAGTTTCAGTCGAGACTGGGCGCATCGGTGGAGGAGTCTCTGGCAGCTTGTACTGTTTGTCGATGCAGTCAACCGGCGTATGTTATTGATATTCAACCCTTTGCATCCGCCCAAGATCACTAATCTCCACGCAGTCAAAGACGAAATCAAGGACACCAAGATACAATGTTTCGCCCAAGACCCAGCATTCACAACCCTCGACATCGAATTTCTATCGTACCTCTCCATCACGGTCCTCGACTCCGATCTCCAGGCCCACATCACGTCCAAATCCTTCGTCTACTCGCCATTTGTGGATTGGTATCTTCTCCTACCGACTTTCCTCAAATCGAAAGACCCGGTGTTGTATGTAGGCAACGAGATCCTGGACGACTACAGTGTGTATGCGCAAACGAAGGAGAAGAAAGAGCGATTGGAGGAGTGCAATGAGGTGGGCAAGAAGTGGATAAAAGGCAGGGAAAAGGTGGCGCTAAGAGAGTTTGAGAAGCATGGGAATGCGCTGAATGGGATGGTGGTTTATATGAGGGAGAGTGATGAGGACGCGGAGGGAGAGGAAGATACTGAGGCGAGGCCTAAGAAAGCTCATGATAAAGAGAAGACTCCCACGGAAGACACCTAGAGTATCAGACCGATATACCCACCCTGGAGCGTCTTGATTATAAGCCTTGGTTTCAGTTGGGTTCCGGCAAAAATTCGGAAATCTCAACCAAAGTACACCTCTGGAGCTAGCACATGATTTAAGCTTGCCGATTTCTTCATCCCACTCAACTTATATACCAAAACTCTCAAAAGCTCGACGACAAACGCCTGCTAGAGCTCTACCTCCACACTATCGCGAGATCGCAACTTCCACACTACGCGGCAACGACGCGTCAAGGCTACCTAACCGCTCGCGAACACAAAGCCACGGAATGGCAATGCAGGCGGCTAACCAAAACCTGGTGCGCACGCGGTCAGAGGGTCTATCTTCTTCTTTGAATCAAGGAGATGAAGAGACTATCCCGGCGCCTGTGCCGGAAGACAAGCTAGCCATGTAAGATGTCAACTCACTGCAGTCGGGCATTGCTAACTAATTAGCTCACAACGCAACGCATCTGTTTCACCTCTCCTACGCTTACCAGCCGAACTCCGACTCCAGATCTGGGAATACTCCATGAGTTGCGCCTATGTAAAAATCAGATATCGCATTCGCTGGAGCGGAGCACATTCCAAGCACCATGGGATCCCGATGAACGATGATGGCACCCCCGCAAAAGATGTTGCCCTCCGCTTACCAGCGACCTCGAGGCAGATCCACGCGGAGACCCGGTTGCTGATCTTCGCCCTAGCAACTTTCAAGATTCCTCAATTTTACCAGGCTCGATGGGTCTCCGATCACGCGTATCTACGAAACATTCAATCCCTCCGTATATCCAACGCAGGCTTGTGGCACTTCAGATTAAGATATCGAACCTCCATCGATGGTCGAATCTTCAATCAAGTACCCCATTCTAAAAGTGGTTATCTCACTGAATCGTTCCCACGTCTGGTACACTTGGAACTCGCTCCCCGCACTGCGGACGGCTTGCACGATTTCGACCACCTTGATCCAGAGGACGAGGAAACCCGCACAATGAAAGGAGCCGAGTTTTACCGTAGGCTACTGGAGCAGCGAATACGGGAGCGAGAGGGCAGACCTTGGCTGACTTTCAGTTGGAAATGATCTATAGAGCAGCTGGCTCTTGCGATGACTTCAAGTGGTATATAGGTGGTTACGGGTGTGCTATTCGGTACTCGAGATTGCTACAGAAATTGTCAACAACGTATCATACTCCGAAGGCCACAATTTCACTATGTCTAGAAGAAGAGGCTCTATTGTGGAGGAAATCGAGCTGGAAACAATAGATTCAGGTGATCGGGATTGTAATCACTGCTCTAGTAAGATCAGACGAGAGCAGCGCAATATATACAGGCGAGCGCGTAAAACACTAGTACAAAAGAGAGAAAGCACGTGATTAACCCAACAGGTGCTTGAACACCTGTTGCGACATCTATCATAGACACTTAGAAGCTACAATGTAATAAATACAGGATCGAGCAAGAGTCGCTACGGGAACATCTAAAGTGAATGAGGAACAGTCACCTTAGGCACCGATAGCGCACAGACAATACAGACAAGCGAAATGAGCGCTCTCCTCCCAGACCAAGTACTTCGCATCGCTGCTCGGCTTATCCACTCTATGACATAGCTCTACCGACATAACTGCAATCAACTTCTATCGCGCTTCAACGCTTCAAAATGGAACATCCTCCAGAACCCAATGATTATACGTCAATGTCGCTGCAGCAAAACAATAGCAATAAGGCAGTGATCTTACCAAATGGGCTCTTGGACTTATCTCACATGCCCGAACATATCGCCGCAATGTCAGTATTCCTCTTCTTTCCGTTTGGTTACATTACTGACGCCAATAGTGCTACGCGCAATACGACAACCTCTCGCCTTTTACAACTCCCTGGCGAACTCCGGAATCAGATATGGGAGGTAAGACCTGGATACACACAATCTGTCTGTGATATTCTCTGACATCGCCTCTCATCTCCACAGTACACGTTAAGCAATCCCTACATCGCCCTGCACTTGCGCGCCAACTCCTCGCCCGAATTTCCTGGATCACATGGATGGGCATACACCTACGCGGACCCCAAGGAACGAACAAGCTACATGTCACTCAAATCAGCGCTACACCTCAACGAGACCTGCCGCCAGATCTACAACGAGACAGCTACCTTAGCGTACCAACTCAACACCTTTGTACTAAAGGGCTCAATGTTGAATCCCGAAGCGTATATGTTTCGCACATCCGCACAAATTCTTGCAGTTCGAACAATTCAACTACGCGATTATGAGATGGATGCTTTATTAAGTGCCCTTTCAGGCGGCAAAGGGACTTGGTTCAGTGGGCTCCTTGGCTTAAAGCGACTCGAGGTCGTGCGGACATACGTGCGCGGGATAGTGGAGCAACGGGTGAGAGAACTGGACTGGCGACTCCGGATGGAACGAACCATTTGCGAGTATAGAGGAAGCTATGATCTCGATATAGTATGGCTGTTAAGAGGAGGGTAAGCGCCATGGAGGGCTGTCTGGAAGATCGGACTATCTAAACTGGCCTTTGAGTACTCGAAGGTTCAACACTTGGAATTGACGTTTTTAAAGCTCGCACATCGCACATCATCAGTCTAACCAGAAAGTCTTTGAAAACCCAACGTCAAGAATCGATGAGGGGTATAAAAGCGAGACTCGCTCTCCCCAGACATCTATGCACTGCTTTCAATGGAGGTATATAAACTGCCACTTCTCCACCTTGTCTTACTTCTTACTCAGCACCTTCCTCCAGCATTTTTCCAAAATGACGTTGTCAACGAGTTATGCGAGTTTCCTGTCTTCCTTCTCCTCATATTTCCAAACCGGCCAATATATCATTACATGTGATTGTGTCACCAAAATCGTACCGCTTATCTTTCCATGCAAATCCCTCCTTCTAAGCCTCTCGAAAAGAAAGAGTTGACTCAATACAAAACATGCCGCGTCTCGCTCAAAACTCGAGGCTAAAAAATATCCAAAGAAGCGACGATGACTGATGATGGAGATGTTGACGAATGGGAGCAAAAAACGCAACATGAAAAGCCTGCGAGAATACGACATGTCTCCGTCCGCATAGAAAGAGACGTATATAAATATCTGTAGTCTGCCACCTCTGCCTTCCTTCTATCATACCAAACTTGTACACGATTCTTCAAAACGACGTCAAGGACGTGCTATTTCCGCGTCTATCCTTTTCCAAAAACACCAATTACCAATTGATGCGCCTGTCGTCTCCCCGCTTCTCTAGCCACGGAATAAGAAACCTCATGTACCGATTTTAAACACATACGGCGGCATTCAAAAAGTGCTGAAGCAGCAGAACATGGAAAGATTGTGCTTCCTCGTTCAAAACATGTCGGTTCCTCGTGATGAGTGCGCCCTCCGGACGACTCTGGACGCATATAAAGCCGCCTCTTCCTTTCCTACCTTCTTTCTTCCTACACACAACACTTGCTTCGTTCCTCACCAAAACTTGAAAGAGATAAGCATATGGTCCTCCTCTTTCCTCCGCCTTCTCCCATATTAATATACATGAGTTATTCATGTGTTCAATCTTACTTCCAAAAACTCCCAGCGGACAGATCATGTCTGACCAGGCAAGATACTGAAGCTTTGTACTCTGAAAGTGGTTCCTCTACATGGCATGTCGTTCCCCACTCGCAACTGCTCTTTGAAGAGCTACTCTCAAAATAGAAAAGCCAGAACCGTCATGTGGAGAGGATGTAAAGCTGTCTGAAAGAATGGATCCGCAAATCGATGTGCTGTCACTCTCCTCGCCTCAGCTATAAAATCTGCGCTTGTTGCTCTTCCTTCTTCTCTTATCCGCACATTCCAAAGCCATTCTACAAAAATGGCGTTCTGTTCTCAACATGGCTGTGGGCTCGCGGTGTGTTCCAAAAGACATGCAGATGTTTCTGATGTGTTCAAATGGCACAGCGGATGAGGAAATGTCTTCGTGTGAGGAGAGCATGTTGGAACTGGTCATGTTCTTACGACAGAGCCAGCGGGGAGCGCATGGTACCAAAACGAGTCAGGGATGCTCTCATGTTTTGATCGAGAGGCGGTCGCTGTTGAGCTTGGAATGAAGTGTGATGATGATGATCGTCATCGTAGTGAGCTTCGATATGAAACGACTTCCGTAACATCGCATGTTCATTGCATTCAAGACATTGATAGAGGAGAATGGCATTTCCTCGACCAGAAAGAGGTGTTCTACTCCCTGCATATCCAACCAGTCAATGTTCACAAACACAGCACAGGCTCGTTCAGCCCCTCAACCCACCACCTTCCCATCACCATCTATTTCCCCATACCCTTAAGATAAGCCTCCCATCCGTCCTCCAACAGCGCCTTATCCTTGCGCATAACCTCTTTCTCATTCCCCTCCATCCAAACCCTCAACCTCTCGCGGATCGTCTTATCCTCCGCACCAAGGATGCGCACAGCAAGTAGCGCAGCATTAGTCGAGTTATTAATACCAACAGTAGCAACAGGCTCGCCACGCGGCATCTGAGTCATACTGACAAGACTGTCCCAGCCATCCATCACACTCGCCTTGACAGGGAGACCAATAACGGGAAGTGTGGTCCACGACGCACACATACCGGGGAGATGCGCTGCACCACCCGCAGCGCCAATGATGACTTTTAGTGATGTCTGAGAGGCGGTCTTGGAGAACTCGCGGAGCCAGTCGGGGGTGCGGTGGGCGCTGGTGATGCGCGTGGTGAAGGGTATTTGCAGCTTAGTCAGGATCTCTAGGCCGGCGCGGAGAACGGGGAGATCGGAGTCTGAGCCCATGATTACGGCGACGAGAGGCTCTTCTTTGGAGGTTTCTGAGCTGCGCGATTCGACGGTCTTGCCCTTTTGGGCGTCCACAAAGTCGACGAGCGGCTGGATCTCACGTTCGGCGGCTGCGAGGGTGGGGGCTGTGATGGTGATGTGGCCCATCTTGCGGCCGGGACGCGCATCACCTTTACCGTAGAGGTGGATTGATGCGTTTGGTGACTCAAGAGCCCTCTTCGCGACTTGGACGTGGGAGTCTGGCGTCTTGCCGCCAAGGATGTTCAGCATAATGGAGGGTTCGCGGAGGCGGAGGCTAGACTGGGAGATGGGTAGGTCGAGGATGGCTCGAAGATGCGCATCGTATTGTGAGATAGGGCAGGCTTCGATGGTGTAATGTCCCGAGTTGTGCGGACGAGGCGCGATCTCGTTGATGAGTAGGCTGTCGTCCTTGAGCAGGAACATCTCAACACCGAAGACACCCTTGCCTTCGAAAGCACCGATAGCCTTCTTGGCGAGCTCCTGCGCCCGTTGTGAGGTCTCCTCTGCTACGTTCCTGGGCGGCGCGTATGTAAGCTTGCAGATGCTGTCCTCATGCACAGTCTCGACAGTGGGGAATGTGAGCACGCCGTCCTTTGTCTTGACGACCATGACTGCAAGCTCCATCCTGAAGTCCGCCCATCGCTCTGCATACAACGGCCTCTTCCCTAAGGCCTCAAATGCTGCATCAACGTCCGCCTCCGTCTTCACCACAAAGTTGCCCTTGCCGTCGTACGCCTCTGTCTTGCTTTTGAGCATGAACGGATAGCCATATGACGAGCCTACTTCCTTCAGTCCCGCAACACCCTTTCCTTCGAGATCGATACTATCTGCGACATCCACTCCATGCTCTTTCAGGTATTGCTTTTGGGCGTATTTGTCTTTGATGGTCCGTAGTGTTTTCCAGCTGGGTTCAACAACGACCTGCCCCGCTACCTCTTCCAGCATATGGGTATCGACATGTTCGATCTCGACAGTGACGACGTCGGATGATTCTGCGAGTTTCTTTACAGCGGCTGCATCCTTGAAAGATCCCTCGATATGGCCGTCGTGCGCTGATATCTGCTTTGCTGGTGATGCCCCTACGTCCAGGACATTGACTTGAACGTTCAATCGGTTGGCAGCCTCGATCAGCATACGGCCCAGTTGGCCGCCGCCAAGCACTCCTACTTTTCGACTGTCGACCATTTTGCCAGAGTTGTTGTCAATGTCAAGTCATTCAAGTGAGGCAGTGACTAGTCGGGGTATTACGTCGGGTGGTTTAGATTGGCTAGTGCTGGTTGGCTGAATGTGGGGGAGCCGCAGAAAATTTAGCACGCGAAAAACTTCGTCGTTCAACATCGCTATACAGTATTACCTGTTGCGGGCAAATTATCCTGCATGTGAAACTCACGAATGCTCATACTGACAATTGAATAGTGACGACATGCACGTTCATAGAAGATAGTTGTTCATGATTTAACCATGAGCTCGGGAGAGCCCATGTGTATGCTTTCATTTCATGTTGAGCATTGAGTATCTTTTTGCAGGCTTTCGAAGAGCCTTTGCCAGTCATGAAGCGCGCCTCGTAAGAATTCCCATGACCATGACCACGCCAACCCAGAGAAACCAAGAGTGCTGTAAGCACACGCTTAAACCTTGAAACCACGCGACCTTCTGCGTCCACGGGCACGCTCGAACTTGCGGCCCTTGCTCTCGACGTAAGGCTTCTTGTGGGAGTGGGGACCGAAGCCGAAATGCTTGAAGGCCTCACGGGCGTTCTTGGGTCCACGGAGGAGGAGGGTGTTGGATCCAGTGGGGAAGCGGGTAGCGACCTCGTCGATGGTGAGGCACTCACCACCGGCCTTCTCGATGCGGGCGCGGGCAGAGGCGGTGAAGCGGAGAGCCGCAACGGAGAGCTTGGGGACCTCAAGCATGCGGTTGTCGTCAGTGACGGTGCCGACCTGACGGAATGTTAGTCATTGATCTTCACTTCGGGAATCGCTTGACGTACAACGACGACGGTCTTGCCGGCGTGCTCCTTGGCGGAGTGCTTGTTGGCGGCGTTCGCAACGATCTTGGAAACGGAGACCGGCTGTGCTGTGTTAGCTACGTTGTTCTCCTGTGCTTGCGATCGGTCGTCTTACGGGGCGGTTGGTCTTCGACATCATGAGGCGTCGCAGAACGGTCTTGTTGAAGTTGGCATCGGTACGGCCTGTCCGCTGTTAGCACAAACAATGTGCGCATTCGTCAGGTGAAGTGCTTACGAGCCAGGAACTTGTAAAGGCGCACCAACAGCCTGACGTAGGGGTTGGTGGACTTAGGGACCTCTGTATACTCGTCAATCTCTCTCCTTCGAAGGCTTCATGTTGCGTCTAAAAGACAGCTGTCGCCAGCGCATTGCTGCGCCGACTCGACGGGGGATCACATACTGCGGTGCCCGTCTCGAACATGGTGGCGGTCGAGGTCGATTCCCATCTTGACTGATTTTGAGCGTGTTGTGCTGTGGGTTAGTAACGACTGAGGGAAGAAGCTGAAGTTCGCGATTCGAATTTGGCAGGAAAGGGCAGCTTGGCGTGGTGTGGCCCGTGCGAAGCGAGCACTTCAGAACTCCGCTCGGCAGGAGCGGCCGCGCATGCATCAGGGCGCAACAACAGAGAACATCACCATCGATGAGTGTTACCCACGTCTATGAGCGTATTCTACATATGATCTCAATATAGTAGTCATCTGCTTAATTGTTGCTCGCCCATGTAATCCGTCTTCAAATACATCATAAGTGCAGTAGAAGAAATGCATCGGATGCTCCACGGCATTACCAATTATATAGCTACAAGTATATACTTTCGCTCGCAGTTCTGTGAATGCCTGCAAGATCTATGTGCCAAAAACGTGTTACTTAATCATTTCCTGTCATTGCTCCCTGACATGCGATTGACACCAGTCGCGTACCGAACCACAAAAAGCATCAAAGAAGGCTCCGTCGGCATGAAAGCTCCTGCTCGTCTATGCGTATAAACACCGGTCACCGTACACTCCAAGCCCGCTCCAAGCTACAGATAAAACGACAAGGGGGAAGGGAAATCGAGGTAGACCAGCGTACTGCAAGTAGGCCCACTCCCAGCTAGAAAATGGCCAAGACCGATTTTAGAAGGAACCAGTTCTTCATACAGCCTTGTCGCCAATGAGCTTGCCGATGCCGTTGTAGACCTGGTTGGTCGAGTCGGGGGCGTAGCGGGGTCCGAGAGAGCCAAGGACGAGGAACATGCCAATGATGACGGCGGCGAAGACCATCAACTTGCGAAGGACGGGGCGGGTGTGACCAAACTCTTGCCACTTCATGCTGCCCTGGCCGAGGTACTCCTTCAGCTTCTCTCCGCCGAGCTTGTAGTAGACGAGACCGCCAAGCGCGATGGCGTAACCGAAAGCCTGGAGAGGAGAGACGGGGTCCTTGAAAAGGAACATGGACGCAAAGACGAGGAGGATGTCCTTGAGTACACCGGAGAGGGTAAGGACGAGCGAGGAGGTCTTGCCAATCTGTGGATGTGTCAGTGAATGTTTGTGGAGGGTGTAGAAGGAACGTACCAGGAAAACGACGGAGACGTTGAGCAAGAAAGCGACGGATGCGTTGGCCAGCAGAGTGGTCAGACCAACGCGGTCGATGTCAGCCATAGACATCTTGGGGAGCTCGGTGAACATGAGAATGACACCGTTGATGAAGGCGCAAGCAGGGGCGTAGTAGTAGAGGGAGACGAGCGGGTCCATCTTGAAGTCGGCACCGCTGAGAAGGCGCTGAACCATGACCAGACGGACAGCCTCGAAGACGATACCAGCAGCCTGGAAGAGGAAACCGACCATGACGAACTTGATCTCTCCCAACGAGGCAATGACTACACCGATGACGATGAAGGAGACGTTTCCGAGAGTCTTAAGGTTGACAGGCGCAACTCCGAGACTCCAGGTGGTGATGAGGACAGCGACGGGCATAGTAGCCTGCTGAGGTCAGTAGCTGCTACAGGTCCAAATTCGTGGAGAACATACCTTCAGCATCTGGATGAAGGCCACACTCAGGTACAGATATGCCTGGTTACCGCAGATCAAGCTCATACTGAAGAAGATACCGATGGGGACGATGGCTCGCAGGTATACGCGTCCGGTCATGGGCACCTTTTTCCGGGAGTCGAGGACGGTGGTGAAGCGGGCGAGGATCTGGGTCATGACGGTCGCGAAAACCAAATGCCATGTTGTGAGGAAGATGGGGTAGTCTGCCGGTGTGTTAGAATGCGGAGGTGCGGCGGAGCAGAGTAAACGTACGGAACTTGGCTGTGTCTAAGATGTACTTGTTGAAGACAATTGTGCTGGAACTGAGCGAGATCCATGTTGCAATGTATACTGCAGGATGGAAAGATGGCGCCTCGGGGGCTGGCTTCTGCGCATCTGGGTTGACGGTCGGCAGCACAGGCAGGGCTGTGTCGCGCGAGGCCTCGACCGAGGATCTCATCTTCTCGTCGGACATATTTGCGGGTGGTGGCTAACGAGGGACGGTAAAGGTGTTGAGTGAAGGTCAAAGGAGGTGGTTGCGGCGCTGGGAATGCAAGTTGCAAGGTTGCAGTAGCAGTGGGCTAGCGCTGCTGACTGATGGCGGGTGTTGCGCGTCAAGGGACAAGCGTGGCACAAGCAACACGAAGCAGCTGTAACAGCGCTGGAGCAATGAGGAGATAAAGAGCGACGAGAAGTGTTGAGAGCACTTGTACAGTAAATGTGACGGTACTAATACCTCGACTGCGCTAGGGAAGGGGAGGGGCGGAGCGGGAATCAGCCAGACGACTTCTAGAGCCGGTGCACAGGGGGGGTTCTGGTTTAGGCGTGCTATCACTGGGCAACGGCCGACTATGTACTAGAGCTGATATGAGGCCAGATGAAGATTTGCCAGGAGCCGCGCGGGATTTTGCAAGTGCTCGATGAGGTGAAACTGATCGCCCGTGGAGCCCTGAGTGGACGCGCAATCGACCACAGCGGCGAGGACTCCCATCAATGGCGCCGAAATTTTGAGCCGCCTCTTGCACTTGCTTGTGTAGGTGTGTACGCGTACTGGCACCCTGCAGAGAGGCGCCGAAGACACCGGTCCCACATATATGTAGAAAAGTGACAGCTTCATGCACATCGCGCACTCTCGCTGCTGCCACGCGCAGCGGTTTACATTGCAGGAGCTGTGCCGCGTCGCTGGAGCGCAGGGTGAGGCGCACCGTTAGGGGTATGCAGAGTACTTCGCACACAGGCGTCGTTGCACCGTGGCACTAGCACGACACCAAGTCGATGCGTCGTTGATCTGAGGCTGTAGTCCCCCAGAGATAGAGTCGGTCAAGCTTCACCATGTGCTGCAGCCCGCCAGATTGAGGCTCCACCCGCGGGAACGTGCAGAGGCCATGGTGACACACGCAACTCGAGGCCACGGGCGATGAACATGTTGCACGCTCGAGTGGTGAAGCAGACGGCCGGCACCAATCAAGGCGCCCACGAGCAGCTGTGTCGACCCCGACCGCCGGTCCCCATGGCGGCCTGCCCCTTTTCTCGCCGTTGCAGCGCGGCCGTCTGAAGCCCCCAAGCTCTCCCCAGCCGACTCCTTCGGCGGCTGGCCCTCTGTTACCCTGGACCCACTTAACGCAGCATCGCCTTGGCGTCCTTAGTTTATCGCCAGCTATATTCCTCACCACGCCCCAAACGTCTGGCCTCTGCTCCACACCCTCTCTATAACTACAAGTGCTGCTCGCCCGCAGAGTACATGCTCAACTACGCCCGCCAGACTTTGAAGCGCGTTCCGAGTTTCCAGGAAATACTACAGGGCAAGATGGGATCCGCCAAGGAAGAAATGTATGTTCACCGCCTGCCCACCCACCTTGCATCCTGCTGAGCACGAGCTGACAATGCCATAGTTCGGTCGACGTGCTCGTTATCGGTGCTGGCCCGACCGGTCTGGGAGCAGCAAAGCGCCTCCACCAGATTGTATGCTCAACACAGAGTCCAAGTGGCGGGGCACATGCTAACAACAACAGGATGGCCCCTCATGGATGATTGTCGACTCCAATGAGACGCCTGGTGGTCTGGCTTCGACCGACGTCACTCCAGAGGGCTTCGTGAGTCTCCCCACTGCCAATTGACTGCCCGCCTCTGACATCCTCCCAGCTGTACGACGTTGGTGGCCATGTCATCTTCTCCCACTACAAGTACTTCGACGACTGCATCGACGAGGCCCTCCCCAACGATGACGACTGGTTCACCCACGAGCGTGTGTCGTACGTCCGCTGCAAGCGCAACTGGGTCCCCTACCCATTCCAGAACAACCTGTCCATCTTGGACAAGGACGACCAGGCCAAGTGTGTCGACGGCTTGATTGACGCCGCACTCGAGGCCCGCGTGGCCAACACCAAGCCCAAGGACTTTGATGAGTGGATCATGCGCCAGATGGGTGTCGGCATCGCTGACCTCTTCATGCGACCATACAACTTCAAGGTCTGGGCTGTGCCCACCACCAAGATGCAGTGCCAATGGCTCGGAGAGCGTGTCGCCGCCCCCAACGTCAAGGGTGTCATCAACAACATCATCCACAACAAGACCGCAGGAAACTGGGGCCCCAACGCCACCTTCCGCTTCCCCGCGCGAGACGGTACCGGTGGTATCTGGAAGGCTGTTGCAAAGACACTGCCAGACTCCAAGACAAGATACGGTGACCACGGCAAGGTCAACAAGGTTGATGCCGACGGCCACAAGGTACACCTGAACGACGGCACAGTTGTCAACTACAAGAAGCTCGTCAACACCATGGCTGTCGATCAGCTCGTCGAGTTCATGGGCGACAAGGAGCTCATCGACCTCAGCAAGGGTCTCTTCTACTCCACCACCCACGTCATTGGCGTTGGTCTCCGCGGCGAGCGACCAGAGCGCATTGGCGACAAGTGCTGGTTGTACTTCCCCGAGGATGACTGCCCATTCTACCGCGCCACCATCTTCTCCAACTACTCGCCATACAACCAGCCCCAGAAGGACGTCAAGCTCGCCACTCAGCAGATGGCAGATGGCTCCAAGCCCAGCTCCACTGAGCCCAAGGAGGGCCCATACTGGTCCATCATGTTGGAGGTCTCCGAGTCCAGCATGAAGCCCGTCGATGAGAAGAACATGCTCAAGGACTGCATTCAGGGTCTCATCAACACCGAGATGATCAAGTCGGATGACGAGATCGTCTCCACCTACCACCGCCGCTTCGACCATGGATACCCCACCCCCTCCCTCGAGCGTGAGGGTGTTCTCACCAAGCTTCTCCCTGCCCTCCAGGCCAAGGACATCCTGTCTCGTGGCCGCTTCGGCTCATGGCGCTACGAGGTCGGTAACCAGGACCACTCGTTCATGTTGGGTGTAGAGGCCGTCGACCACGTTGTCAACGGTGCTGTCGAGCTTA